ATATATATATATATATATATATATTAATTTTGATGGATTATTACCAACCAATTGTAAAAAACATATTAAAATAATAACAATAATTATTGGTATTATTATAATAATTATTTAAAGGATTTGTTTATGCTATTAAAAGTAACTAGCTTATTTATTAAAAAAAGTCGTTTAATAGGATTCAAAAAGATTATAATAATATTAATTTTAGAATAAATAATTAAAAAAAAACTGCAATATATTTTTTATTACTTAATAATGAGTTACTTTTAGTAATAGCAATTATCCAATAAAACAGTTTTACTATAATTAATTATGATTTGCATTAACTTGATAGCTTGTAATTATAAGAGAGATATAGATAAGGAATATGAGAGGGAGAATACCCACCGGCCCGAGGTGCGCGGCGGTTTCCACGTGATGAAAATGAAAGGACTGAAAATATTAAAAGTATAGAGAAGAGAAGGTCAACGAATTTGACGGCCCGATGCGGGTGACTCACGACTGGGTGAGGTGTGGGAAAGTCTCATCTAGATCTATATATATTTTTTGATCGGTTAATCTAGATACATACTTATTAGGGACCGATTGTTTAACCGATTGTTTACCAATTTAACTAAAAAAAATTAATCAAAATTTAAATTTAATTCAACTTCAACTCAATCTCATCATTTCTAATATTATCAATAAAATAGACTTAAGTGTACTCTTTTTTCTTGCTGTCACATCAACAGAACTCAAACTACGTTCACTTGCATTGGAAAATATAATTTTTAGACTGAGTCTCTTATCGAAAATCAATCATTTTTTTATCTAATCGTAAAAAAACTTGTCTAGCGGCACCTTTTATTTCAACATAAGATACCTAGAATCTCGTTAAAATTGTCATTAAGTTTTCTAAATTTTGTTTGGCCAAAATGTGTTTTGAAATTTCCGAGTGCTACAAAAAATCCACCGTTGGATGTTCATTAAAAAACTATTTTCTTGAGAAATCTGTTGGTGTTGTACCATCATCAATCGATCCTCTCAATCACCGACAATAAACTACCATAGTTTCTAGTTTTCCGACAAGTTGCATCGGCTAGTAAAACTAGGAGCTTCGCTAGCAGAGGCACGATTGAAAGAACTGATTAATTATCGAAAGATATAATTGGATTTATCACAAAATAGTTTTTTGCGTATCTATATTTTTCATAATAATCCAACGATGAATCACTGGTAATACTCCGTCATAAGGTTAATTATGAAAGAAAAAAATAGAAAAAATCAGTTTTCAAGAATTTTGTGTTTGTTTTTCTTCTTATTTTAATGTTGTTAATTACTCCAATAATTGTTCTTCACATCCAATATGCTTGTCAAAATCATGAAGACACCATTGAAAATATACTTTTCATAAGGTTTACAATAAAATAGGCAATTAGTCAATGACTTGGGCAGTTGGTTTGTAGACTTGGCCCTATTTGTGTACTTCATGTAGTGATATCAACAATAACTCACATCCATATTTTTCCTCCAATTATTTCATTATTCAGGACTTATAACTAAAACCAAGTAATCAAACCATCATTGAAAATCTGAATGCATTTCAGTCTTCCTTTCTGCGTATGTATTTCCACATGTAATTTATTATCTTGATAGACCCTTGAGCACGTCGTCGTCTCAACGCTACCACCAAACTTTAACTTAGCCTTTATTTGAATTTCAGTGTTTTTCTTTAGTTTTATTTTTCCCCATTACTTGGACCCTTTTAACTCTTGGAATCTAATGTGTCGAGACTTAGATATGGGTTGAACCAGTTACTGAAGAGCTTCGATCGTCCAAAAACAGTTGATTCCCTGGAAAACAAGAGTCGAGAAGAGCTTCCGGTGTGAACACTCCGACGCTAAAGTCAGTGATAGGAAGGAAAAAAAGATGATGTCTGGATCTAGAGAATTTTGAAAGAATAAAGAAAATGTTTAAGTTATACCTCATCTCTCTTTTATATAGGGAGAGCACTTTGGTGCCAAAGATTAGTTGCTCGGACTGCCCAGCTGCCCTGATGAATCTTCTTGGACCTGCCCGACTACCCGATGTTTATTCTTATCTTGATTTCATCCTTATCCGAGTGAGATTCGTTCCTTATCTTTATCAAATCCATATTTATTTAGGTCTCATTGATTAGCTCGATGTTGATTAGCTAGGTCACGCCTTAGCTCGATTATATCTTAGCTTCGTTCTTCATTGATTAGCTCGATCACCTTTTAGCTAGGTTTTTCATCGATTAGCTAGGTCACGCCTTAGCTAGGTTTTACATTGATTAACTCGACCTGCTGAAGGTCTATAGGTCTTCTTTATTCATTGGCTAGGTAACTCAACCTATTGAAGGTCCATAGGTCTTTTTTATTGACCAATTAGTTAGCTTGACCTGTTGAAGGTCTGTATATCTTCTTGATTGTCAGCTTGTTAGCTCGACCTATTGAAGTTCTGTAGGTATCTTTCCTTATGTCAGAATACTTGATGGTAGTAGGTCTTAACTATTTAGGTCTGGCGTTGTCCTAACTATCTTGTCCTTGTCTAAGTCCTATAGGTGTCGAGGCCTATGATATGTTTAGTTATTACCTTTTTTCCAGATCCATCTTAGTTATTTAGGTCGTCATTCTAATTCAGCCGACGTGTCCAAGCTTCTCCTAAAACGAGTAATACAACACGCTCGCTCGTTTCTCTCTCTCTCTCTCTCTCTCTCTCTCTCTCTCTCTCTCTCTCTCCTCTCTCTAGAATTCCATTCGAACTATATCCTCTCCTCATTGCTCCACCGGTACGAGTTAAAGAGGTGTTAGAGTAATATAGTAGAAGATCTCGAAGGTAAATTAGGTAATCGAGACATCGCGATCATCTACCGGAACCGACGAGCCACGACCCGCCGACCGTGACCCGCCGATCTTATCGACCACACGACCGCCAGGCCCGATGCCGCAAGACCCGCGACGTATTCGCCCCGGCCGACCATGACGATCCAGCCGACCACCATCGCAGCTCCGCCTTACGCCGCCGATCTCGTCCCGTTCGTGATCACGCATCCTCGTGACGTGCTGCTCCCGGTTATCCCGAATCTATCAGATTCAGAAAATTTTAAGCCGTAAGTTTTCGACGTCAAACCTTTAGATCCACTATGCATAGTTTTACATTTGCTATTGAATTCATTACTTGTACATAACGAGATCCTCACAGATCCTAACACCATAAATCCATTATACATGATATTGAGATCCTTGTTGCAGTAAATTATTAAATTTATCGAGTATAAAATAAATCCCGACCTCGGGTCGATCTCTTGAGGAAAACGTTTAG